ACACACACACACACACACACTTTTGAACACACACATACATCTCAAAAGCAAGCACACACACACACACACACACACACACACACACACACACACACACTTACTTTTGAGGACACACATACAGTTCATAAGCCAGCACACACACACACACACACACACTTACTTTTGAACACACACACACAGCTCATAAGCGCACACACACACACACACACACACTCACACACACACACACACACTTACTTTTGAACACACACACACAGCTCATAAGCGCACACACACACACACACACACACGCACACACACACTTACTTTTGAGGACACACATACAGTTCATAAGCCAGCAGGGGCTCTCCACTGTCTCAGGTCAGCCTTGCCCTGTCATCTCTCCAGATGTTCAACTGTATCACAGAGCTGGTTCTACGAGCAAAGAAGGACAACTTGGCGAAACAGCAGCAGCAGCAACAGAACGATGTGGTGAAGCTCACGAAAAACAGTAAACGAAAGAAACGCTGCTGCTAATGGCCCAGTCCACTGCAGAGACTGCACTGCACCCTCCCCAGCCCGAGGCCCTCAGAGGCTCCTCGGGGGACAGTCTCAGTTTAGTGCCGTTATTTAAAGAATCTCTCCACGTTTTTTGTATCGGGAGGCGCCATCGGCACTTCCTCCCCGTTCCCCGTGAGTGCCAAGAAGGTGTTGGACGAGCCTGCCCTTCCCCGCTGGTGCCCATCTCCCTGCCGAGGCACCTGGACCTGGCGAGGACGCTGCCAGCTGAGCGGACTGATTAACCAGTTTGTATATAGTGTATATTGCATTAACCAGCTGCACACCCTCAGCCTGCTCTGGCTTTTGCCTCCTTCCTGCCAACCTGCTGCAACAGACCCTCCCAAGCCCTCCTCTCCCATCTCAACGGCAGCTTCCTGAGGAGCCAACCTCATGTCTTAGCTGAGTCTTTGGCCAACCTGGCTGGGCCCATGGAGTGCACTCTACATGGCTCCTGCCATACAGCTGCTCTGGAAGCTGGGGAACCTGGCCTCCACACAGGCCCTGCCCTCGGCTGGCCCTAGGCCTGCAGTTCCACAGAGAAAGTCAGTCCTGGCCTTTTGGCCAACAGGTTTTTCATTCTGCCTTCTAGATGCCTCTGCTATAAACCCAGGGGAGCTGTGGCTTCTCACTTACCCATCATGTTTCAATTCCAGCAGAAAGGTAGGGTACCCTTGTTCAGATGGAGCTTGCAAGGGGGAGCATTAATTTAACAGACAGCCGAATGAAGCCAAATCAAACGAATCAGGTTTCTCATTTATTTTCTTGAGACTTGTTTGGCTTAATAGCAAAAGTTATGACTGTTCCACTTTGGGTTCAGTATTTTTAGAAAAGGTGTATGGCTTCTGTTCACTGTGGGGTCAGGCTCTTTCCCTTTCATGAGAAAGGAGGGCTTTGCACCCTTGTTCCTTATGTGTGCAAGGGCCTCCCACTGGAGCTACTTTGTAGCGTAGCACCAGGCACCTGGGGTGCATCCAGAGGCTGCTGGACTATGGGAAGACACCTCCAAGCTGGGATAGGCGGTTTTACATTACTGACAGACCTGTTTTAGTATGAAGGTGGGAGGAAGATTTCTTGGCCACTGGGAAGAAGTGGCAGTGGGGTGGGGGCAGCCAGTATTGACCCATTCCCCCCCCTGGAGTAAAAACCAGGGTAATATATGATTACTCCCCCCTTCCCCAGACACTTGGTTCCCTTTCCCTTAAAGGATCACGTAACTGGGAAGAACTGATTTGGACACCATAATGTGTTTTATTAGATTTCTTTTCCTAGGCGATTTCCAGGCACAGTCCTGACTGGACAATCATCACAGATTACTGCAGATTTTCCATGTTAACACTGTGGATGGGTTTTTAATCAATAAAACTGGGGCTTTCTTCTCACCTGTCTCTCCACTTGTCCAAACTGTGCAAAGCTGGGGTTCTGTGCGACAGGCCTGTGTTTCTGGGCTGGGTTTGGGAGCTGTGGGCCTAGGAAGGTAGGTGCTGTGGAGGATACTTCAGGGCCAAGCGGTAGGCAGCGGCTCCATATCCAGGTGAGCTGGGAGTTGAGGTAGACTGTTTTCAGCACTGTCTTGGCTGACTGGGGGACAGGTGTCATCACACATGCTTCTGAGCATGTGGGAGCCAGTGCTGAGGTTATTTGCCAATTCAAGCAATAAGAGGGTCATCTTGGAGCATCCAGCCCAAGTTAGGTGCCTCTGTGGCTTTTGGCACTTGCCTGTTAAGGCGCAGGTGATGGGTGATTTTGGTGACAACAGTGCCTGTCCCACAGAGTGGTACATGCATGAGTGGGGGTGGGGTGTGGGTAAGGGAGGGGGTGGGGGACTCAGGGCTAAACTGGTGTCCTGGTGGACCTGATGTGAACCTCCTGTCAAACAACAAACTTTTAAATGGTTTGCTAGGATTATTTCTGTATTGAAAGTTTCTAATTATGCTTTTTAAAAAAAATACTAAAAATAAAGGTTCAAGCTGCCAAATTTCCTTCCAAGGGTCTGTTTGCTCTCCTTACAGCTGTGCTCTGGGTACCTACCTGGCTTCTTTCACCATTGTTGATCTCAGGTGCTACATAGGTGCCCATCAGGGGCGCTAGCACATGGTCAGGGGCCAAGTTTGTTTTTCCATGAATAGATGGTTCTGGTGGTGTTTCCCTCTGGGCCCAGAGCACATGTAGGAAGATGCCAGGGGAAGCTCCATGTTTACCCTGTACATGCTGGAAGGATGCAGTGGAAACTCATGCTAGGAGTGAGCTCTTTCTGCTGGAAGTTTCTGCCATGCTGGACAAGAGGGTATGGATCAAGACATTGCCACCTTCACAAATAACCCTCCTGGGCCCAGTACTAACCCTCTATAGCAGCAGTGGTGGCTTTTGACACACAAAACACGCTAGTAACAAAAACAACCCTCCACACACCCAGGAAATGAGGCAGAAGCTGTGTAGAAATTCATTTTATTCTTATTCAGACTATTTTCAAAAGAAGCAGTGGTGCGCTGTTTTTCTAAAAATATGCCTTTATATATTTATATGTGTATATTATAAAATCCATACGTGTATTTACACAGTTGCTACATACAAAATTACAGCACTGTGGTATGTACATATCTTTAAGTACATTCTTTCTGCTCAGCCCTGCTGTGCTTTCCCCATTGAGGGCAGAGACTTAGTGAGTGGTGAGCAGCTGCAGGTAGGGCCCACAGTGCCTCTAGTGGGGCCTCAGCAGAGATGGGGCAGCCGCTGCGGAAGGAGCAGAAGCAGCAGGCTGCAGGCCTTGTCCCTTGTCGGCCTGGTGGGCAGTATCTGGAAGCTCCCAGCAGCCTTACCCCATCCACCCTGTGGCACCCACGCTGCCTTCAGTGTGCGGGTGGTTAAACTTGTCCCCTTGGAGGCCACTTTATGGCCTGAACTTGCTCGGCTTGGCCTAGTTGTATTTGAGGTGGGAGGGAGCTGTGGAAGACAAGTGCTCTCCCAGCCCTACCCCATGAGGGGGAAAAGTCTGGAAGGCTAAAGCCTACAGAGGGCCAATGGGAATGCTGCCAGGCCTCGCTAGGGTAAGGACTGCCTGCACTGGAGGAAGCTGAGGAGTGGCAGCAGCCAGAAGATGGGGCCCTTCCCTGGGGTACAGATGGCCTCAAGGGAGCTTGGGTAACCAGTTCTTAGGCCCCACAGCCACAGGCTGGGGCTCCTGCTGTACAAGACTCCAGCAGAGGTGCGTGCACACAGGTGAGGGGCTATGCCTCCCCTTACTCCAGGCAAGTGGCCGGGGCACGAGTGGAGGCTCAGGCCTCCTGAGGCATGCACAGGAGGGCCTCAATCTCTGTCCCCATGTTCAAATCCAAGGAGGCAGCAGAGCCTTTAGGGTGGGCTGTGATGAGCTGGGTCTGAGTGGCAGAGCCCGTCAATGGGCTGCACGGGAAGTGGCTTGAGCCCTGCTCACTAACAGGATCCTGGGGAAGCCCAGGCTGAGACTTGGCTTGGGCAGTAGGGACAGGGTTCATTCCTGTCCCTTGGTAGCAGCAGCCCTCAGAGGACAAGGCAGGCCCCCTACTTCTCAGTCTTCACTGCACTGACAAAAAGGAGTGGGCTCTGGAATCACCTGACCCCAGGGCAGCTAGGCAGGCACCGTAGCTGCCCAGCTCCAGCTGACTGGAGACCCTTTTCAACTGCCTCAACAGTCTTACTCTTCCCCACTTAAATTTTCCTGAAGAAGGAGAAGAGCCGTTTGCCGTCCATGGTGCTGGGTTCCTGCCCCCGCCCTACGCCGTGGCCCCTAGAGAAGGCAGCAGCAGGCCGGCTCTGTTCCTTCAGGTGCGTGTCCATCAGCTGCCTGTCAATGACCCTGTGCATGTCATCCTGCAGAGAGAAGAGGGGTGTGGATAAGCAGCTGCTCTTACCTAGCCCTGGGGTTGGACAGAGAGGTGACAAATGTTAGGGCAGAAGGTGAAGGGGACAGATGTGATGAGTAAGCACGGCAGTTGGGGCTGGTGGAGCAACACAGAGGTCAATGGTGGTACCATGCCAGGACACATAGGTGCTACACAGAACTCAGTCAGAGCCAGTGTCTTCGGGCTGAGATAGCAGAACAGCCCCTATACTAGCTCATGGGGCTGTCTGGATGCCCATGGTCTGGCTTGCCACCCCACCCTCAGACAGCCCAGAGTGACCTTAGCTTGTCAGCTCTCTAGCCCACCACCTGGCCCCTAAGAGGCTACCTGTGTCCTAATTTACCCCTTCAAATCACTTTCAGGCTAAGTCACTAATGCCCACACCCTGGACTGCCTTCACCCCTCTGGCCAGGCTCTCACACAGCTAAAGCTATGGGCAATGTCATCCTGACATGCTGTCTTGTTGCAACTCAGTCCCACTTCTGTTAGCTTCTTCATGGGGGTAAGGACCATACCCCTCTAATTAGCTGGCTACTTAGGACATTACCCATGTCCTGCCTTACAGAAGAGCAGCTTTGAACAGTTCCTTTCTAGTCACTAGATTCTGACTGTAGAAACGAGCTACCTGTGTTAGGGCTCTGCTACTAACACAGTTTGTGATCACGAGAAAGCAAACACACCACCTTCCTGCTCCTTCAGCTTTTAACCTAGCTGTGAGCTCTGTGAAGTTCTGACAAAAAGACCCTAAAATAAACCAAGCACATGGCAGATGAGGCCAGGCTGGGGTAGCCTACATGCAGCAGGAAAAGATGGGCTCTGCTGCTCTGAACAGCCACTTAGCAGATGAGGGCACAAACCTGGAAAGCCTGGCTCCACTCCCAACCTGCTTGTCTGTCACCTCTGTTGCACTCAAGCTCTGATCTATGGGTGTAACCTGAGTATCTTTGCAGGTTTCAGAATGAAACCAAAGGTCCTTTCTGACCTATCGCCAGGCAGTGGTGAGCACACAGGCCTTACTCTCATTGGCTTACAGGTTGCATACCTATTCTCTCATTCCATTCTTACCCCCCCCCAACACAGACACACACAATTTCTTCCCTGGCTCTCCTCCTCCTCCTCCTTTTCCTCCTCTTCCTCCTTTCCCTGCCAACCTGATTTTCCATCTGCATCTCAGATTAAACCCTGTGTCATTTTTTGCCAGTACATACTACATGGCTCCTACTTCCAAAGCCTCAGTATGGAATCTTAGCACAGTACTCTACACTTAGGACAAACTCAATGAAATATGTTCAGTACCAAAGAGGAGAGCCAGAGACCTTTTGGAAGAAGTCCTCTCAATGCTGTGGTATTTTCTCTGGCAAAGTCACTTCAGATTGCATTTTTATACTTTAAATAATAATAAATTCATCAAGCGAATTCCATGGAACACATCTCTTTGGAACTTTACACATGTGCACAAGCTTGTCACGATCCCATGCCTGCTGCTATTCCTGTGATAAAAATCTACATATGGTAAGGTGGCATTGGCCTGCCAGAGCTGCCAAATCACGGCAGATGGGAGAAAGGAGGCTGGGACTTGATGGCACATCACACTGCACAGAGATGAGGCCAGGTTCCAGGACACAGAACACAGTGGGCCATGGAGAGGTGGCAGATGTGGACAGAGATGGCAGAGGGGAACGGATGAATGGATGCAAGGCTGTCTCACCTCAAAGGCAGGAGGGGTGTACAACTAAAGCTGTTGGTACAGGAACTGAGAAAGGCCACTAGATCAGAAACCAAAGGAGCCAGATAGTAAAGAGCCCTGAGGAAGCAAACTGTAGTTGGGAGAGAAGAGAGGACAGCTGTGGTGAGTCAGGGCTCTGGCTAGCTGGCTGCTGGTAGGAGCCAGTGAGCCAGTGACCTGATGGTGTAGTCAGGACTGTGGTTGCCAGCCCCACAGAGCCATAGTGTAATGGTCACTGCTCTTCTGCATGCCACATGGGGCTGGCTGCCCTCTAAGTCACAGGTGACTTTCCATCTGAAGACAGACGTTAACCACTAGACCCACATTGTGACTTCAGCCTACCCCAACCTCATGGGTGAGTCACAGCCCCGGGGCAGCAGGGAGTCAGGAGACCCTGAAGATGATGGTCCTAGAGCTAGACACAGTGACTCACTTTATCCAGGACCTGTGCAGCACAGTGCCCATGGAAAAGGGAAGCTACAGACCTTTGAGAAGGTAAGAACAGCAACTGCCTGAGGACTGCTGAGCGGAGCCCAGCTGTGGGTTTTCATCCAGTCACATGGGAGGCTCCCTCCATGCTGGTAGCACATCCCTGACAGGCTGTCTGACCTCTGTCTCAAGGCTACTCTAAGGCATTCTTCCCTAGAGACTGATTCCATAGGTGAAAATGGAGGCTCCTGGACACCTGGGCTCATGGGACCTCTTGTCAAAGCTGCCCTTACAGATGTTGGTTCAGGGATGCTTCATGGCACTCCCCCACCTAGGCCTCAGGCTCCTGTTTACCTGCCAGGCCTCAAGCTGCTGTGAGAGGTTCAGTTTCTGCTGAATAGCATCCAGCAGCTGGCTGTTCAGAGACATCATGTCCATCTTGCATTTGGCAAGTTCCAGCTCTACAGCATTCTTCCTGCAAACAGACGAACCACAGTGAGGATGGCACCTTGTGTCAGAGGCATCTGGTTCTTCATTGGGAGATCTGGAGTGTAAGGGCAGGGAAAGGGGCTGACTCCACACCACAGGGTCACTTCAACTATGCTCCTCGAAGGACTGTAACATGCATCCAACCCAAGCTGTGGCAAGCGCTGACCTCTCATCTCTAAACAAGAGACACAGAGAATGGTTAAAAAAGGACAGCATTTCCATGAGGACCTGCGCCCAGAGGGGATCAAGGGCCTCTCGTAAAGGAGCTGCTTGCTGACCCTTCCCATAAGTCTGTGCACACTGCAGGGTGGGAACCTCCTTCTCCTCCTCCTCCTGTGGGGAGGACTAGCCACACTAAAGGAACTAGCCCTAAGAGTAAGATGTTCACAGGAAGCCACACAATGGTGTTCACAGTTTAGTATCCAATAAACGGAGAACTGTTTCAAAATAAAAGACA